TTTCGACACTATTTGTGGGCTTTCGCGATTGCCAACTTTAAAAAACAAATAAATTAAAAGAAAGTAAATTAAAGAAAATGTATATTAAAAATAACACATATTAATAAAAAAAATAAAGCCCAAACTAGGATCTTATTTTAATCAGATTGAGAAAAAACAAGAATATGCTTCCGTATTGAAAAAAAAAAACAAGTTTCATAAACAGAAAATATATAACATTTGTATATTAACATCTCTTCTCCATTGGCAAATGTAAATAAATGGAAACATGTTCTTCGTTTGTTCATGGCACTGTCATGAATTAGTTTACGCGTATCTGTTGATCGACTTATTAGCTGATTACGAGTGAATTGCTGTGTTATGTCTGTCATCGTTTAGGCAGGCGAGGTCCTGGACGGAACTCGACTCAGTGATTTGGAACTAATTACGAGATAACCGTCGCTATTCAGACTATTATTACTATTTATTATCCGTAATTATTAATGCAGTGAACGATTAATCAAAAGATATGACGTAATCAGTACTTAGTGTGATTGGCTTTATGATTGAAGGTCACGCCTTAGAGTCTTTTTACTGCTTTGTAATTGGTTAGAGTTTTGTAAATGAATAAAGTTGTTTTAGTTGGTCTTGGCGAGTACAGCACGACAGACGCAGTCTTAGTCCAGTCCTAGAGAGTCTTGGGCGAGTCTTGGGTCAGCCTTGCGATAGTCTTGGGGATTTTTCCCCAGGGCGCTGTGTCTTATAGAGTGCTCGAATTACCGGCTAAGACGAGAGTTAAAACGTATTTTGGTGTGTGTGTCTTATTTGACTTTCCCGACCCCGTACCTCGAGGGGACGCGACATAGAGACGAGACGAGATTCCCCCCTGACACGTGTGGAGAACCCCAGAGGAGAAGGATCCCCCCTGATAGCACCATAAAACGTTACTGGACTATTTATCTATTCAGGAATCGTGACTTGGTGAAATTATTTTATGTGATTGCTGAATTGGAGCCCTTTGGTTATTTTATTATATAATGCATTAATGAACTTGAGATAAAAGCAAAGTGTCAAATTCAACAGTGCACAGGTTTTCTGAAACACCAATATTTTACTGTTTTATTTATTACATAAAAATAAACATTTCAACATAATGTCCGCTTGAGGTGCACCTGGTGGCCATTCGTTTATTTGATTTCCATCACAGCAAAAGACTTATAAGAAGTGAGTGAAAATAAAAATATAATGGCGATGAGTAATGATATATTGAAAAAAAATAATTTCATTTAGAAAATGAAATTCGGAAATTTGCTTTCAATTTCGCTGCAGGTTATGAAAATTTCGTTCAGGACACAAACACGACGATAGATATAAGGAAAGCGTGGGAGAGGGGAGATAAAATAGTTGTGATATACTCTATATCAATGTTTGATTTGTTTAAATAAGGACGATATGCCCAGACCCCAGCTTAGCGTAACTACTGATCAGTTACCACAACTCATGTTATCACTTACAGCAACAGTGGGGACATCTTCTTTTCCTTGAGTTTCCTGCATATTAAAACCTGGTGACAATATGTAAACATAAAAGTAAAAATTGTAAAAGGTATATATTTTACTACTTCTATCCAGCATTCCTCTCTTCGAAATCAAGTCAAATACACCGAGACTATAGCTTGTCTGAAAACATCGTGACTCCTATCGGAGCTCACATCTGAATGTCCACACTGCCCCCATGTGACGAAACCGCCCACATATACTTAACAAACACGTATAAACCTCATAGACTCACATCGGGTTAACAGGGACGAACTTATGAAATGTACCTTCGTGTGGTTATTGTAGTTGTCTGCTTATTTGGCAGGGCTCATGGAGTCCCGTCTTTCAGTGGTCAGCCGGAGCAAATACATTTATCGTATACAGGTAAATAACAAATTTCATTATTAGTGTACCCCGATTCAGGATGAGGGTCATATCGGCATGTAAACGAATGAACAAGGACACCCTGTTGATTGCTTATGTGTACGAGGTAACCTCAACTAACTTCCGTGTTACACAATACGTCATTTGTTACGTTATGGATACATGATAGGCGTTTGCACGACTCGTGAAAACAGTATAATTATGTAGCATAACAGTCTGAACATTGTACATATTGATATCTCGAGAATTATCTCGTATTCCAAAATAAACTTCATGTATAAGACGGACAGTTTTCATAAGTTGGGTGCCAGTGAACAAAGTGCCTGCGACAGTCCCATATACTGTGTTATGATCAGACACAAGTTAATGATTTACATGTCACAGTGAATTGAACTATTCACACACAATGACGTACACAGTACACAGTACAATGACGTACACAGTACAATGAATTTATACGATAAGTTAATTTTATCAAAACACGTGAGTGATAAATGTGTATTGTAACCATATTCAAAAATACTGAGGCAGTATTACTGAAAAAGTTTTTTTTTTTTTTTGCACAATTTAAAACTAAGGAATCGATGAGTTTAGAGCATAGGCCTCACATGTCTTTATACAAAACAGCATAGTTTTACATAAATTTGTAAAAAAAGATTCAGCCTCAAATCGCATGTGGTTTGTATTCTTTTTCAAAATTTAGATCTGATGTTTATCGGCCCATGTGGTGCAGCAGAATGGTGATCATGCATGTACTAGTTTTAGCGACGTAAAGGTACATATCACACCAAAACTCCAGAAACACCACCTGTATGCAACACCTGAATATCAAATGGATATATAACTGCATTAACCATAGGGGCGTAGTTATTACGATATTTATCCAGATCGACATCGACATACCCAGATAAATATTGCTTTTATAATTCTATACATTCGGTACATCCCAATGTATAGAAATATATGGGAATACATTCATAACCGTTGTAGGCAGATATTTATATGTTTTCAATAGGCTGCTTTAAATTATGACTTATGCTTTGAAGTACTTGGTATTGTAATACTAGTATTCATTACGCCCCATTGCTTACATACTATGAGCATGTTTCTATTCTGTGAAACTTGGTGATTCATATGTTTTATATCGACATTTTTATTTCTCGGCAATTGCCGACTATGTATAACGAAATAGGAATAACGTATACCCATCCATAGATCGTTTAACCATGGGGGTACTGTCATGAATTTGTTTTTGCGTATCTGTTGGTCGACTTAATTAGTTGATTATGAGCGAATTGCTCTGTTATGTCTGTCATCGTTTAGGCCTATTTGAAGTTTTGGACGGAACTTGGCTCAGTGATTTGGAACTAATTACCAGATAACCGTCGCGATTCTGACAGTTGGTATCCATAGTTATTAATGTAGTGAACGATAAATCAAAAGATATGACGTATTCAGTACTTAGTGTGATTGGCTTTATGATTGAAGGTTACGCCCTAGAGTCTTTTTTACCGTTTTTACTGTTTTGTAATTGGTTAGAGTTTTGAAAATGAATAAAGAGAGTTTGAGTTGGTCTTGAAGAGTACTCCACGATAGACGAGTAGAGAGAGAGTGCAGTCCTGGGCAGTCGAGAGTCCAGTCCATGGGCGAGCCTTGAGGCAGTCCAGTCTTGGGCGAGTCTTGGTTCAGCCTTGTGAGAGTCTTGGGGACTTTTCCCCAGGGCGCTGTGTCTTATAGAGTGCTCCAAAAGATCGACTAAGACGAGAGTTGAAACGTATTTCGTTGTGTGTGCCTTATTTGACTGTAAAGTTAAAGTGACTTTCCCGATCCCGTACCTCAAGGGGACGAGATAGAGAGACGAGACGAGATTCCCCCCTGACAAGTGTGGAGAACCCGAGAGTAGAGAGATTTCCCCCCTGATAGTACCTCAATGGTTTAACATACAAGTCTAAGAACCAAACAAGACAAAATACTGACAACAATGAAAAAAGTCCACGGCAACAAAACAATTTTAAATTACACGTACTGGCAATTTCGTTATATACATATTCAAATCAGTAACAGAAAGATATATATAACTATGGTATCCACGAAGTGATGTCAGGTGTTTCGAAAAAAATAGCATATTCTGCACCCCAAGTGGCACCCACCATATATCTTTGTGAATCATAATCGAATAGTTTCTTTTTGTTTGTTTGTTTAGTTTCGTTTGCGTCAAATGTGAACTTATATAAGACTAGCCGTTTTTTGTTATTAAATATTTGTTTCGATACACGAATTGAGTCGATAGAATTAGCTCAATAAGTTGGTAGACGTACGTACGGAAATCATTACCAGGCGGTAAGGGTATATACATTGAAGAGATACAAATAGTTCAGTATGCAACGCTTAGTAGATTTATTCTTAATGTACAGTAGATATATAGATCCGATTCACGACTAATGCGATATTGTTTGTTAGCCTACAAGATGACGAGAGATCAGGTAAAGGAGTGAATCAATGGCGAGCGAGATTCGTCCGACTTGCGAACTTGCAAGTCCGAGCTGAGTAACTCTCCACTCAGTATCCAAAGGTGTTCTGAAGTCTCATCCCTCGTAAACATACGTTTTTGTCATGGACCGTTGTTATACTCGAATACGATTTCCCATGTATGGTGACCAATTACCATATAAGGTCATGCTTATTCAAACCTAATATATTTACCACGATGTACGCTTTAGATATCATGCACCTTCCGGCTCTATAGGACGTACAACATACAAGGCACATAACACGCACATACAATAGACCATGTATTTAGGTTACAAAAAAAGCATCCAAGTCGTAAGCCAGTCGTACCCCAATGACAACCCCTTTTCACCTTCACGTTTTTAAATTGCGAAAGATTATTTTTTGTGCGACGTTATGGTTATATGTGTTCATTATGCAATAATGCATACAACTATCGTGCAATAATTTAAAAAAATTATACTGATACAAACATTATATATAGCAATATACACTTATTATAAGCACACAATGTTGACTGTTCACAATACTTGAGCAATACATAATTTTATTTACAAAACGTGTATTACAATAGGCGACGTAACAGAAATGATGGTGACATGGAGTACTATGACACCAACCGATCAATCAATTGTCGAATATGGGATAAATACACTGAACATCGCAGTAAATGGTAGCAGTACAACATTTGTGGATGGCGGAGAAGCAAAACATACACAGTACATACACAATGTCAAACTCACTGGCTTGAATCCAGGGCAGAATTATAGTAAGGACTACTTATATAAATATTATTATAATAATGTATATATTTCTATACACTACGTTTTTGCTGTTTGATAGAAATGGTTTCTTTCAAAGTGCTGTTATTTTCAGAGAAATTAATTCTTCATCTTTATTTAAATCCTCTTTGAAAAAAAGAGGTAACCAAAATTATAAATCGAATTTATTAGTGAATACAATTTCTGAGATGTCACATTTTTGGAATAGCTCATTATGTTATAAGGAAGGAAATCTCGAATATCAAACTGTTCGAGTTTACTTCTCGTGTAATATTAAAACAATAGATTGTACCATATTGATAAAAATCATGTAATACTAACAATTTTAGTAATTCTTGTGACGTAAAACATTAAACTCCTCAGAATACCACTGCGGAAGTTCAGATGGTTGGAGTTCTATATATTCATTCACTGCTATGCCAAGTGGATCCAATTGGAGCCCACGTTTTGCTGTATTTGGTGACATGGGTAACGTCAATGCACAGTCAGTTGGGGCGCTACAACAAGAAACGCAAAAAGGACACTTTGATGCAATTCTTCACGTTGGTAAGACGTTTATAATATACAAAACAAACATATTTGACAAATTTTTACTCTGTCATAATGTTTGTAATATCTTTAACATCTTCATATAAATGAACTAGCACGGGTCAATCTATTACAGGCGATTTTGCATATGATTTTGACAGCAATGATGGAGAAACCGGCGACGAGTTTATGCGACAAATTGAACCAATTGCAGCTTATATACCATATATGGCATGTGTTGGAAATCACGAGAATGCTTAGTAAGTGAAGCTCAAAGTAAACTATATAGCTATTCTTGTTGAAAAATTACCAGCTCAGTTGCTTTGACACTTGATAGGTGACAATATCGTCAATTATCGATTTTTGACTTATATTTTAAGCAATTTTGGTTAAATTCTATGTTCCACCTCTTCTTGAAAATTACCAGCTCAGTTGCTTTGACACTTGATAGGTACCTGATTGGTGGACCTCCATTAGATTTGTTCATTTCGCGACAATATCTTCAATTATCGATTTTTGACTTATATTTTAAGCAATTTTGGTAAAATGATATGTTCGACCTCTTCTTGAAAAATAGAAGCTCAATTGGTTTGATACTTTGTACCTTGGGTGTGCTTCTGTTAGATTTTTTTATTTCGTGATAAAATCTTTAATCATTTATTTTTAGCAAATATTTTTGGTACGAAATGCCATTTTCTACTTTTTCGTGAAATGTACTTGCTCAATTTGTTTGATATCATCACATGCCATATTTGTATCCCTTCTATAATTCCTTCCACATGATTTGCATGACGACTGCTGTTCTAGCTGGCTTCTTATATGGAATAAGAGTATCAATTTGCTTAACTACTAGACTTTCTACCATTCTGATTCTTTTGTTTTGACAAATGCCCGACATTTCTCCATGTATATATTCGCTTATCTCAGCAGTATCTCCCCAGTCACGAGTCTCTAATACAACAAATTAGTCTATCCCTGATGAATTATTTTTGTGATTTAGAGAAATTTACAAGTCACAGCAAGGGTTTTTCAAATCAATGATATATTTGTCCAATAGTTCATTTGGCTCTTGATTTTCAGTAAAGAATTAGTAATTAACGCTCAATGACTACATTCTCTTTGGATTGCAGTGTTGTTCAAATACTTTGATTATGTTAAATCTGATGGCAATGCAGAATAATTAATGTAGAATGGATGCTCTATGTGCTCAGTAAGCAGTACGTTGATTGAACAGAAATAATTCAACCCCAACTTTTTAGTTTTATTAAACTTCAAATAAGGAATTTATTTAGATGCATGTTACCACTGTATACTGATTTTTCAATAAATGAACATATTAAAAACTCTTTTCTCTTGCAGTAATTTTTCTCACTACAAAAATCGTTTTCACATGCCCAATTTTGAAAATAACAAGAACCAGTGGTTTAGGTAAGTACATTCTGAAACATCTGGGATAATTTCTGTTCAACAGTTGAGTACGCATTCAATAAATTGAATATTTTTTATAATTAATACTATTTGTGTTTAAATTGATATACGAAACATGTTGCATTGTTTCAGCTGGAACATTGGACCTGCCCACATCATATCAATATCAACCGAAATCTACTTTTATATAAATTATGGAGTGCAACAATTAAAAAACCAATGGGAGTGGTTGCAACAGGATTTGGAGGTATGGACATGTTACAACATAATTAATAATGTCATATTATTATTACTGACATATTACATTTCTTAAAATTGAATCATTTGTATTTCTTGCATTTAAGAAGCTATTTCTCACAAGAAACACACCCAGTCACTGTAATTCCTTCATTGTGATTTTACAAAGGAAGCCACTAAACCAGAAAATCGTGCCAAACGACCGTGGATTATAACAATGGGTCACCGTCCTATGTATTGTTCTAATAACGATCACGATGACTGCACAAGGTTTCTAAGTATCGTGAGTATACGCCATATAATCATTTAATGGAATAAATAAACAATATTTCGTCATGTGGCCAGTATTACGTGCAATAGATCCAAACTGAGACAAAGTGAAAACGAACAATCTAATCAAAATATTTCTCAATGCACAGTGCATCACACGAAAAAAGAATGCTTCAATTCGATCATGTTCAACTCATGGCCGGTATAACATATAACAAATACTTGTAATAGGAACCAAATCTAATAAGCAAGCCGGAGTATTACATATGTACTCCAACAAAAACACAAATGTCCAAAAAATAACTATTAAAATGGGATATTGATCATTCATTATTATAACAGTCTCACAGACAGATACGTGACTAGCATATCCCATAAATCATTCGTAACATTAATGATTCATAGATGAGGCATTCTTGGAATGCATATCCACCATAAACCATTATACATTAAAATAAATACTCAACATTTGTAACATTAAAAAAGTAAATAAAATAAAATCCAAGGCAAAAGCGGCCAACATGTTATAACATGATAAATTTCAAATCTGGTAGGTTAGAACTGGTTACCTTGGAATGTATGGATTAGAACACTTGTTTTATAAATATGGTAAGTTTGTATCTCTAGTGATTCTGTTATTCATAGATTAGTCGCACATTACGCAAAATAAAACATTATTATGAATAATCAATTGTGAGTTAAGTTATTTCATTTGTTTATAAATACAGGTGTTGACTTGGAATTGTGGGCTCATGAACACAGTTATGAAAGACTGTGGCCTGTGTATGACTTGAAGGTACAATAACAATGTTAATGTTAAAGGACAGTTTTCATGTGTACAATACAATAATACATATCTTTAAACAGAATCGTACACGAATATTGATTGTGGCAAAGACCATTGGTCACCTGTAATATATTGCCTTTGCAAAGCATCTGGAATAATATATTATATTATTACGAGATAACGTTCCACTAAATTCCTAATGTCTACTATATAGGTTTATAACGGCAGTGTGGATGCACCGTACACCAATCCTAAAGCTCCTGTACATATTATTACTGGATCAGCTGTAAGTACATTGTCTTTACCATGGTTGGGATTTGGGGAGGTCCAATAACAAATATTGTTGCGAAATTATCACCTATCTTAGTACTACTCCTTAAGCTTAGTTTTAACATTTTGTAGTTGATTGGTCAGCTCTATCTTTTCAACAATTTGTATATTTTATAGTTTAATGATGCTATGCTCACAAAAGTCCACCACAAACACAGCAAGTATAGGGATTTGTAAATAAGTTTAAGTATGTAGATAGGTTACATCTTCGTATGACCTGCCAGTCATTCAGTTTAAGTACAACTGAAAACAACACATGCATCGCCACATACAAGTTATCCATTGTGGTCAAATTGCCCCATTAACTTTTCCCAGACAGTTGAAGCAACCGCAAATAGGATTTGTGTGGATAAATTTTTAATACAATTTCCTTTGTGTAGTCACAGCAATGTTGCAATATGACATTAGCTTAGCCATATGTGCCTAGAGGCAAATGAATTAGCCCAAAATAAAGTGGCGCCAGGCAAAGTGAGACTGTCGCAAAATGTAGCAAATCGACTTTATAACAGATCATTTGATGGTGCCAATATGAATATCATAAACTCCCCGTACGAATCTTATTCGCGCTCACTGTAATAATTTAGTTTTCACATTTGTCCGGACATTTTGTCACTGATTTACCATCAGCAAATGCTAGAAACTTGGTGGTTTCTTTGAAAAAATGATAATGTCTAATAAATAATGTCATGAAACCCTTCATAGAAGGAGAATGAATATATTAATACATATTATCTCTTTTTTATACATTATACAAGGGATGTAAAGAAGATCATGACGGATTCCAACCACCATATCGTCCATGGAGTGCATTTCGTCGTCAAGATTACGGCTACACTAGAATGCAAATCTTGAACAACACACACCTGTACATGGAACAAGTGTCTGATGACAAGGTATTTAGTTTAGTAATACATAAATATATCTTGTCAGTACCTTCAGTACAGTGCAGCGAAGAGTCATTGCAGTACTTACTGGCTCTATCACATCAAACAGCCAGAGTGGCCTAAACTCCAAATGCATACATGATACATTTACCTAACCTGATATGTCTTTTCAGAAAGGCGAAGTGATTGACAATCTTTGGTTGATTAAAGAAAAGCATGGACCATATAATGGGTAACAATATAGAACATTGTATCCTGCTTATTGAATTACTTCTACCAGATGAAATACAACATTCTAAATCAGGTTGATTGAAGCTAGCAGTCATCACGGACATATTATTCAGAATTAAGGAAATCTCTAAAACATTCAAGAAGAGAATTGTGCTACAATCAAATTTTCATTGGCTAAAGATGATCTTTGGCAACATCTCTCTGTCATGGCAGATTTACTGTTGTTCTCTACTCAATCCAAGCAAGCAAAAAAATGACAACGTATAATTTGTCAACGAGTACTTTGTTTGGATGACACTGTCCAGAATTATTTACCAAGAGCATCGATCCATAGTCTTAGTGGTCAAGTAGTTTTCAACCACAATTTCAATTTATAAGCATGTATTTTGCATGACAAAAGTGTGACTTTATGTCTTCTTGGTAATTATTGTAGTGATTGAAAAAAAGATTAATTTATCACACAATATTTAATCAGAATTGTATACAGTGATCTGGAAGCATTTACATGAGCTTTTGAAAACCTTTTTTTCTTGGAATCAAATTTTATATGAACCAATTCAATTTTCTCTTCAGAAATATTATCTGTACAATTAATTTAAGTAAATAATTGCTACACTAATTGCAGCATGGACTGACAATGTAATAAATTGGTGATGAGTTGAATTAATTTTCTATTATCCTAATTCATGATGCGACACAGTTCTAATCCAACATGTATCACATCATTTTGTACCTGTATTTTACTACCGATACTAGCAAACAATGTCGTGAATCAAATCATTTATTAGGAAAAAACACATAAATTCGTTAATAATTAGTTCTGCAAAGTACAATAAATTTACAAACTGAACAGCATTAGATATTTTTAATTAAACAAGAGCCATGTCAACCACTAACATGTAATGTGTAAGTGACATGGGGAGATGTTTTCCATACTTTTGAGCATCAGTTATGTTATATTCAAGATGTTTTAGACGTTATCAATATGAAACTAATGACATATGACAAAAGATAATCTGTTATTGCAGAATATATCTGAGGGTGATTATATTATCAATTGTGGTAAAACAACAAATGATATTGTGTCTCCATTCTATTGCACTCTTAGGCAACCACAAAGTTTACTTGTCTATTGTAAAACTATACTATAGGTATGTACTGCAACATGAAACAATTTAGACCAATAGTAATTAGTAATAATTAAAGAAAACTTCACAAAAATACATAAATGTGTCTTGTAAATCAAATTACACAATTTATACAAATCTTACAAAAGCTGCAGTAATATCGTGAAATAGACATATCACTCAAAGAGCTGTGTCACTAATACTATGACAATCTATTATTCAAGAGTTTTGCATGAATTTAAACATACATGCATAATACTATCAACTCAAGAGTTAGTTCTGATCATGTATAAAGTTATTCACATGCAATATAACATTGGCAATCTCAACTGAAACTTGTAATGCATTCAATTTCATATCATAGGCATCTAACACACCATTCTTTATAGCAGGACTTTCTTCCCAGTTCATAGAGTGTTTCACATAGTTAGGAAGTTTATGGAGGATTTCTTCTAAACACTTTATGAAAATGTCAGTCACAGCAACAAACTGAGCTCGACTACAATGAAGGTTTTCAAGTATAGAAACATCACTTGTATGAATCTGAAAATAAAGATAATAAAAAATATAGTTATAAACTAATTTTAAAAAGTCATTAACATGATACAGTCTTCGGTAAATCAATGCTGAAAAAGAAACTAGTTTGCCATTTTAAATAAAAACTAATGTACATGTATAATGATGTATATGTAAAGTTTGAATTTATCTATTTCCAGAATGAAAGACATGGCTTTGATGTATTTTTAGCTTCAAAGCAGATACCATTTAGCCATCTTGAATTAGAGCACATAACACAAGTCATTGAAAATGACACAGTCCCCGTTAAATTTTTGAAAGTTTTCTTTGTGCTCGTCATATTAAAGTGGAGGGGTTGTCGCGAGCGTGTCCTTGAAACTTATACATATACAACAGATTGTTTATTTACATCAAAACACGTTTTCCGTGTACATGTAGTAGTAAAATGGCCAAAAATAAAAACAGCCGTTATTCGGACATCTTTGATCTGATTATGAAACACACTGATATGTATGATGTATGTGCCAAATAAGAATGAAAGTGGTACATAAGTTCTGGAAATATAGTAGTGAGGCCAAAAAATCAGATGGCTGTCAATCGACCATCCTTGACCAGATTGTCATGGACATGTATCCTAACATGTATAATCTATGTACCAAGTTTGAATGAAAACTGACAAAGCATGTCCAAAATACAACATTTTCAAAAAACAAGATGGCTGCCAGTCGGCCATTTTGAATCGAATCACTAAACCACTGCATGTGCATATGTCCCACATAAGGTACTAGGCACATGCAAAGAATGGACGGAATCGGTCCACAGGATTCTGAAATATGACTCTGGACAGACTGACGCATGGACGGACGGACACAGGGACGGACAGACTCAGGAACTCACGGACGGTCGGGGACATGTATCCTAACATTTATGATCTATGTATTAAATTTGAATGAAAACTAACAAAGCATGTCCAAAATACAACATTTTCAAAAAACAAGATGGCCACCAGTCGGCCATTTTGAATCGAATCGCTAAACCACTGCATGTGCATATGTCCCACATAAAGTACTAGGCACATGCAAAGAATGAATGGAATCGGTCCAAGGGATTCTGAGATATGACTCCGGACGGATGCACGAATGCACAGACGCACGAACCAACGGAGACTGAATTATAAGTCCCCGTTTTCGGACTTTGTTCGAACGGGGACTAATAATGTATTATGTATTTCTGCAATTCAAATATGATTGGTGAAGGTATGTATGAGATGTCTCTGGAACAGCATTCATAAAAACAAAATATGATCACCAGTCAGTCATTCTGAAGTTGATCTTAAAAACAAAGTAATATGCATCAGGGCAGAAATGCTGCCATACGGCCATCAAGGATTGCATTGCAAAACAAATATATGTGCATATGTATCCCACAATGAACAATGTACGGTATGTGTGAAGTTTTATCTTGGTCAGTCAATGGAAGTTTGAAAGACATGTACACATTCTCGCATCAAAGGCCAATCCATTATAATCACTGTCTGTTATCTGAATATACAAGAACAATTATGAACTGATGTCTAACACTGATTGCTTTCCATCACAGCCCACTTCATCATGCATATTCATTGACACATATACAAAACATGTCAATGCATTCAATTTAATTGTATTCTTTACACTGAATACCACAAGCTAAAAATATTAAGTTGGGACAGAACTTACTTTGTTTTTAATGTGGCGAATTATGCAATACTCTGTATATCCGCCTCCTTGCAAAGCCATGGGATGAATGAGGATACTACGTAATATATCCTGACAATTACAAAATACAGCCTGTAAAAAAACAAGTCATTGTCAATGACACGTCCCCGTTCCGTTCATATTTGAGTGACATATACATTCAAAACAGATCATGACCGAAATGCACCTGCATATGTACAACACATTGTGCTAAATCTGAACAAAATCCATCCATGCATGACTGAGATCCGGTTCCGGAATTGTGAAAATATGTGATTTTGATGCATTTTCGGCCTTAAAATGGCCATCATTCCGCTATTGTTAAGCAGATCATGAAACAAATGCACATATCTATTTGTGACATGATGTACCATGTGTGTGTGAAGTTTGAACTTGATCAATCCAGACATGTCTTGGATACGGATCCAGAACTGAATTCTTTAACAAAATGGCCGCCAGTCGGCCATTTCGAACTTGATCCGAAAAAAAAAAAAGACGTGCATCAAGGTCCTATTATGTTTAATGTATGTACCAAATTTGAACAAAATCCATCCATGCATAACTGAGATACGGGTCCGGAATGGTGAAAATGTGCGATTTCAATGCATTTTCGGCCTTAAAGCGGCCGCCATTTGGCTATCGTTAATGAGATCATGAAACAAATGCACATACATATTTGTGACATGATGTACCTTGTGTGTGTGAAGTTTGAACTTGATCAATCCAGACATGTCTCGGATACGGATCCAGAACTG